GTCTTCGACGGGCGTATAAAAATGTTAAAAGAATAACACATTTGACCCCTGTGAACTTAAAAAGTCTAACAAGGTTACGAAGTTGCACAAAATTTACACAGATACACTCAGATTTTATTCTGACTACGGGACTGGAAAATCCACTGCTGTCAGCTCTGTACAATTAAAATGTATATGTAATTATATAATAATTATCACATCATGGACAGTATTGCCAAATATCATCACTCTTGATCTTTTGAGTATACACCTTTGATCAACCTTGAAAGTGGGTCAAGATCATCCACATGAATAAACTTTATAACTCTAAATTGGAGCATGCTACTGTCCAAATATCACTAACCTATGCATTTTGGTTGCTATATTCAGAAGAAGTTGTTTAAAAGTTTTTTAAGACAACTGACCCCTGTGACCTTGAGAGTTGATGAAGGTTATTTATTTGAATAAACTTTGGTTTGGTTTTGTCTTGTTTAAAGGCTTTGACATCCTATCAACAGCTAATTATAAGGTCATTTAATGACATGCCTCCATGTGTACATGTGTTGTGTATGCATGCATGTGTATATGTGCAGGAGACAGGGTATATTGATGTATTTGCCTCCTTGTAATAGCGTGGATCTGATGCCGACTTCATAGTGCTATCTCACTGTAATACCATGCAGAAGGCACCCAGTACAGCCCTTCACTAATGGCTACATATCATCACCCTAGGCCTCTTGGTTATTAATTTATATAAGAAGCTGTTCAAAGTAGAAAGTTGACGCCGGATGGATGTACAACAGACACCATAAAACAGCATAAGCATACTTGGCTCTTCCAGCCGGTCGAGTTAAAAATCAAGTCATTCCTTTAAAAGTTATCACATGGTAACCATACAATTGAAGATGGCTATTACCAGCAATATTGACTTGCAGATCCAGATCAAACTCAAGTATGCGATTGATACTTTATGTATCTGTAAAAAATCTCATAAAATCAAAGTATTCCTTTGAGAGTCATCACACAAAAACCTTTGTAAGCACTCACAAACAATGAATCATTATATTCAATAACTGAAGAAATTTTAAGGCATAACTTACCACAAAGTTTTCGTCTTCTCTTTTCACAGTTTCACCATATGTCCACAATGGAATCTTGGGTTTCCTTGGCATACGATGTTTTGATAACGCAACCTGCAAATAAGGATAACAATTCACATGAATTATACAAGAGGCCCAGCTGGACAGCTGATCATGGCAAAATATTCTCCAAATGAGATCCAAGGGAGCGGGCCAGACCCCAAGGCTTACCTATCCTTGTAGCATATCTGCATTAGATTTTTCATGCCCAGCAATTTTATGTATGGTTATGGGGTGGGGATCTCAACTGTTTCCAATCTGTGATTCAGAAACTAGGTCCTTATGGTTGTGGCCAGACCCCAGGTTCAATTCTAATATATTGAATTCATTCGTCTCTTTATGCCCAACAATCATATACATAGTTTTGGGGTGGGGATCTTAACCGTTTCGAAGTTATGACCCAGGGGTTAAGTCTCCAAGGGTGGGACAGACCCTGGGGCCATCCTGGAAGCATATGTGCAATCATCTCTTTATACTCAACAATTTTATGTATGGTTATAGGGTGGGGATCTCAACTGTTTCCAAGCTGTGACTGAGAAACTAGGTCCCCAGGGTTGACCCCAAGATCAATTCTAATGTCATTACTGCATTCGTCTCTTTATGCCCAGCATTTGTATTCATAGTTTTGGGGTGGGAATCTAAACCGTTTCAAAGGTATGACCTAGGAGTTAAGTCTCCTAGGGTGGGGCAGATCCTGGGGTCAATTCTAATATCATGACTTCATTCGTCTCTTTATGCCCAACAATTGTATATATAGTTTTGGGGTGGGGATCTTAACCGTTTCAAAGTTATGACCCAGGGATGAAGTCTCCAAGGGTGGGGCAGACCCAGGGCCATCCTGGAAGCGTACCGGTATGTGCATTCATCTCTTTATACAGCAATTGTATATAAGGTTATACAGTGGGAATCTCAACCATTTCCAAGTCATAAACTTTTTTTGGCCCAACCCCATAGCTCAGGGGGGGGGGGGGGGTCAGACCCACCATTTGTACAATTTTGAATCCTTGCCTCCCATGAATGCTTCCAACCAAATATGATTGATATCCAGTGCAGTTCTACAGAAGAAGTTGTTTATAGCAATATAACCAAATTGCCCACTTTTGGTCTGCCCCTCAGCCCCCTGGAGGGTCAGCCCCACCATGTGTACAATTTTGAAACCCCACCACCTACGAATGCTTCCAATAAAATATGGTTAATATTCGTCTTTTAGTTCCAGAGAAGAAGTTGCTTAAAGCAATATGGCCAAAAAAATCTTTTGGCCCCGACCCTCAGCCCCACCATTTGTACAATTTTGAATACCCGCCTCTCATGAATGTTTCCGACCAAATATGATTGATATCCAGTGAATAATTCTACAGAGAAGGTCGTTCATAGCAATATAGCCAAATTGCCCACTTTTGGTCTGCCCCTCAGCCCCCTGGGGGGTCAGCCCCACCATTTGTACAATTTTGAATCCCGCCTCCCATGAATGCTTCGGACCAAATATGACTGATATCCAGTGCATAATTAATTCTACAGAAGAAGTTGTTTAACAATATAGCCAAATTGCCCCCTTTTGGTCTGCCCCTCAGCCCCCTGGGGGGTCAGCCCCACCATTTGTACACATTTTAATCCCCACCACCTAGGGATGCTTCCATTCAAATTTAGTTCAATTCCAATCATTGGTTAAGAAGATTAAGAAGAAGTCGTTTGAAGAAATCGCTGATGTACGGACGACAGACAACAGACGATGGATGGACGACGATGAACAACTGGAATATGATAAATTGATTAAAGGAAACTGGCACAAAAATTTCATATTAAAAATTTATGTTATTTGGCCACAATTAAAAGCTTTTCTGTTTGGTGTACCCTGACCAAGGGATTTAGATTCAGTTAAGTAGGTAGGTCAAACTATTTTGTTGATCTGACAAAGAAAACAAGAGGCCCATGGGCCTTAACGGTCACCTGAGTCCTACAGTATTAATTTTTTGTTGTTGAAATATGAAGTGGAGATAATGATGTCAATCATCCCTACCAAAATTTGAGTAAAAAAAGTTAAGTATAATGTTAAGTTAAGTTTGCCAGAACCATGAGTTGATCATTCCTCGACCGAGTTTCAGTTAAATCGGCCTATTAGAACTTGATTTTAAGTTTTAAATAGTTTTATTCCAAAATGGCAGCCGTGGCAGCTTTATTGGATTTTTGATCGACCCGAAAAATAACAACACTTTGTCAGGACCATGAGTCAATCATTCCTACCAAGTTTCAGTTAAATTCGCCAAGTAGAACTTGACTTTAAGTTTACAATAGTTATTTACCAAATTGGATTTCTAATCAACCTGAAAAATAACAGCACTTTGTCAGGACCACGAGTTGATCATTCATACCAAGTTTCAATTAAATAGGCCCAGTAGAACTTGACCTGAAATATTTTTTCAAAATGGCAGCCGTGGCGGTCATATTGGATTTCTGATCGACCCGAAAAATAACAATACTTAGTCAGGGAGTTGTCAGTAACATTCCCATGAAGTATCAATGAAATCCCTTCGACAGTATTATAGCTTAAGTTGAAACTGTAAAATGTTAACGTACGACGGGCGACAACAGACGAAGACGGATAGCAATAGGTCACTTGAGCTTAAGCTTGGGTGACCTAAAAATCCAACTTTAATCAACTCTGATCAGTAGAACATCCATTTTGGTTCAACGTCTTGACAAGTCGCGTTAGCACTTTAAATATATTATATTTATAAATGTCAGTAAAACACTTTACAGATCTTCATTTCTATAGAGGGACAGTATATTGTACAATTGTACCTTGATTTAACATAAAAATGAATTTTAGTAGAAAATATCAATAACAAGAGATCCTAGAAGGCCACCATCCAAGGATCTTTATCAGACCTGCAAAAGATGATCTTTTACCTTCTTTGCTTTTTATCATTCTTAAAGGTACTATTACCCATTCCCATGTTGAGAATTCTTAAGGAAATCTTGTACTTTAGCTTAAACCTCGTAATGTTATAATTATGTTATTTCTACTACTGAAGTGCAAAGGTTATTACATAAGGATTTCATAACTACCGATACATGGGTATGCATAACGATAAAAAATTGTTATTTCTTACATAATAAGATGGAAGATGTGCTGTCAAAGATGGATGAATTCTCATTAGGGCCTAGTGATGGGCTGATAATCGATTCTAATCAAAAAACGATCCATTTGCCCTTCCGATTCCGATTATCAATTACAAATTCCATAATCGATATAATCGGTTCATCATTGAATTAAAAGTCTCTAAATGTCTTCAATGTAAAGTACCATTTGATAGTGTTATGATTTATACTATGTGATTGATTAAACTGCATAAATGTAGCTTGATATCCATTCATTATGTAAGATCAAAACCTAATTCACTTATCATATTATCACTTGTCTATTGAAGTTACAGTAGTGTTCTCACTTTATTTGGGTATTGAGGCCCCTAAATGTATAAACCGATTATACAATTGATCATCATTATGGAAAATAGCCAAACAAGGACCAAGGGAAACCACCACATGAAATTTGAGTACTTTCCAGAAAGGGTGATAACAAACCTAAACTGTCTTTAATCACTTCAAAGTTTTCTAACAAAATGACCGTATCGAAACAAGTGAAAGACATATATATAGCAGGGAAAAACTTGACAAAATGTGTTGACACCTCATATGCCTTTCTAATCTTCTTTCCTTCTTGCAGTTTCCATTTCTCTTCTTGCATTTCCTGCAGCTGATCAGGGGTCAGTCCTTCAGTGTATTTCTTTATCTGATCATGGTAACTGTCCCAGGCAAGTTTACTTTTTTCTGCATATATCTACAAAATAAAAACTTGACATTCATACCTGTAAATGTGAATTTATACTGAATAACATATGATACAGTGAAAACCAATACTGAAAATATAGAAGTGCTTACTCCCGGGGCTAGTGACTTTTTTATGATGTCATAACTAATGACGCTGCTTCTGTTCTATTCTTTCATCTTGATGGTTACATTTTAAACCTGTAAATTCCATGGTAATGTTCACTTAAATTTCGATCAGAACACATGGAGTTATTCACATCGTATTGTTGATGCAAGACGTTCTGTTGCATTTCACATGTGTGTTATGAGTGATGGTAGGCACCATTCACAATTTAAATAGCATTGAAATTATATACTAACCACCAAAATGGCATTTTTTGTTGCAAACCATCTCTTTTATTTTACATAAGCATGTGGGTTACAGAAAAATAGTTCATCTCTTAAAAAGTTAGCATGTCTGCCATGTTTGTTTGAGAAGGGGGAGATGGGGGAGGGGGGAGATGGGGGAGATGGGGGAGGGTAGGGGGTGCTAGCTATCACACCAGTAGTGATAAGGCAGGTTTGTTACAGCCTAGGCTGGCATTGTGATTGGTTGTTTCCTGACAGAGTTGTGTCAAGCCTTATTTGTCCAAATCGTGTCAGGTTATGTTAGCCTGATGCAGCAACATACTTGTTTTTTTACAATAAAATATTTCAATTTTGTTTGATAAAATATGAGCATATTTAAGTGAAGTTGATCAGTTTTAATTCTAAAATCCCTAGTTCTTGTTTTGAATTCATAAGAAAAAGAAAATGTCTTCATTTCAACTGCTGCCTTAATTTGCCACTAAGCCTTAAAACTACTTGAAAATGGCAGTAAAACCGCATGTAAATTAGCTAACAAAACCATTGGCATAGACTTCCAAAATTAGTTAAGTGTCAAAAATCTGTCAAACTCTTCGATTTACCTGTCTTTCTTCATTTGGTAGATTACGCCACATTTCACCTGCTTGTTTGGACCAAACTCCTATCTTAGTTTGTCCTAAAATACAACAGTATTTAAAGATTTGTATAACAATATAGAAGGAAAACATAACATAACGTTCAACTGTTAAAAATGACTGCCCAGTCAATGGTTTGACTTGCATGGCAAACTCTGATTGACTGACAATGGCTGCCAACAGTCATCAAATTATGCCTGATAAAATTTAAACAGTAACACAGGCTCAGTAGGAAATATTATCATAACAGGCTTTAGTACTGGTAGTAATGAGCAACTGGTTTAAAATCATAATTGATGGTCGGTTATTAAACAATAGCCCCTTTTATGATGAATGTTTAAATTTATTCTACATCACCATCAATCATATACAAAAATCAATGAAAAGGATTACTTTAAAAGTATACTTTACTTTGTATACATTTGAGACTTGAGTTCAGTTTGGTTTGGTTTTATATTGTTCAATATCCTATTAACAGCTAAGGTCATTTACGGACATGCCTCCATGTGTGTTATGTCAGCGACAATGTATGTTGGTTTATTGCCTCCTTCTGACAGCACGAATCTGAATTTATAGTGCTATCTCACTGAAATACCATGCCGAAGGCGCCGAGCACATCAACCCGCCTGGTCACATTGTAATGACAACGGGTGAACCAGTTGTTGCTAGTACCCTAACAGCTGAAAATTAAGCAGGGAATAACAACTGCTATTTTTAAGGACTTTTGCATGTCCCAGCATGGGGACTGCACCCAGATGCCTTCCTCAACCTGGGTGAACGTTTAACATTAAAACCAAAAGTGAGGTACATGTATTACCAAGCAAGGCACTAGGAAATAAAAAGTGGTTAAAAGTAGAGAAAAATAAAAATCTGAAATATTGCAATGGGTGCAGCAGATTTATTTTGGTCGCTTATGTGTCACGAAATAGAGGGCACAAAAGTAAATCCCCAATTCTGCAGGTGTTCCTTCATTAGTCGCCTCTTATGATACATGCAGTTGTTAACAGCAGCCAGCAGGTGTATTCTTTTCTCGATCACCAACCTGCAGTTGAGTTCAGTAATTATCTGATGTTATCAATAATGGAATTTATAATCGATAATTGGAATGGGAAAGGGCAAATTGATCTAATTTGATTACCGGGTATATTCGATCAATCAGCCCATCAATAACAATGAGCCCGTCCCTCTGCCTCAATAGGGGCCACACCTTCTAGTTGAATCCCTTTTGCCTAAGGATGCTAGATCAAACTTATGTTGAATTCCTGTCAATACTGGAGAATGACTTTTTTTTTCTTTTTTCTCCATCATTTGGCCACGTTCTTCTGCTCCAATCCTCGATAACCAGGGATTACGCTCACGTTCGCTTTCTGCACCCCTTGAATATGTTATAGCAAAATCTAAGGCTCAGTGTGCACCACATTGTGGATGAGACCATAAGACAAGTTTGTTAATTTGATGTACATGTACATCAAAGGAAACTCGCGGTCGCAACGGTAAAACTTACTGGCCTTGAAGTCGGGCGTTGCTCCTCTGTAATCTTCAAAGGACAAGTATCAGCCTAGTAATTGGTGAGGTTTTTTTAGCTGACACCAATCAAATTGCCAGATGCGGGCCTTCAATTTCGCTATGAAATATTCAAGGGGTGCAGAGAGCGAAAGTGAGCGTAACCCCTGGATATAGAGGATTTTCTGCCCCAAGAAAGGCCATTCCTTCCATTCCATTTGTACAATGTTCAATCCCCTTTGCCAAATGATGCTCCAGACCAAATTTAGTTAAAATTTCTTTAATTAGTACCACGGCATAAGCACTGATAAAATATGCTAATATCAACAGGTTATATGACCTCGCTTCTTACCTGGGTTTTTCAGTTTTATTTCTGGAATACTGTCCATATAAAACAACATGAATGACGAGCCAGGTCGAGGTGGGGGAAGCTGCCCTTTCTTAGGTCCATTATCTTCAATTGTCCCATACCATGCTTTGCAAACTGGTGCCCTGCAAGTTGTAACAAGAAACATAAAAAACAGCTCTGGGACAGTTCAAATATGTAAATCAATAAAAATGCAAGGTAGGAGAATGTGACAGTTCGTCAGATTAAGTATCCTAAGCTACCTTGTCACTATATATATAGCTAGGGATTGACCCAACCCTGATCTGCTACAGCCAGGCAAAGCAACGTTATTGGTTCCTGCAGTATTAGAGGTGTTTCAATCCTGCCATCTATGTATAATAATAAGGGGATATTGAAATTTATGTTTCACTCGTACAATAAATTAAACAAACCAGATTACACGTACCATTTTAAGGTATACATCGGTTCCTCCTTTAACATGTTTTGTGGAATGACACTCCAACATACATGTTTATGGTAAATGTACATGTACATAATTCTATAATTCATGAAGTGTGACATTCTGAAATGCATATTCAAATGTCATTCCAATTTTCAAATAAATTCAAATACTTCATATAGTCCAATAAATTTAAATGATTCTATTTCAGTGTGCAAGCTGCATATGAATTTGTTTGTGAAATATCCGAAAGCTCTTAATTTTTCTTAGCTACACAAACACAACATTTGTGGAAAAAAGGGGACATTATGGGTTTGAGTTTACCCGTTTTGGGGGCAGAATTGTCCCGACACCCATTTCAATTTTTTGTCAAATAAAACAAAGCAAATTACACCAAACAATTTGTAGTCCATCAGTAATCACTGGTTAAAGGGGAAAAAGGGGGGAATAGTCTAAAAGATGTGGATTAATTAGGTTACCTTACAAGTGTCAGCTGTAGGGATTTCCCTTTAGCTTAGCAGTAGAGCATCGGACTGGAAAGCCAAGGATCGCGGAGTTCCAGCCCCAGCAATGGCACTATCTTTATCCCTATTCCTCTCCTACTACAAATTGGTGCTGTTGACACTCCCCGTTCAAGGAGAACCCTTGGCGGGGAGTCAAAGAACCTGGGTTGGTGTTAGAACAAGAGGCCCATGGGCCTTAACGGTCACCTGATATATTTATACAGAGAGTTGATTTTGTTTTTAACATGTACAGAAATATTATTCAAAGTGAAAAAAAACAATAAAACCACCTTATTCAATATCTAGCATACAGATTTAAGACTAAAAAGTATTTGAAACTAGCACCTCTGATTCTAAACAAGGAAAATGAAGAAATTTTAGCACACTGACTCCTTTGGGCCCCACCCTACAGCCCTTGGGAGTAGGGCTGGCTCAAAATTTAATGTTCAAAGTATCATTTGCCATTATAAACCATAATAAAT